ACAGAAGGGGGGAGGGGAGAGGGAGAAAGAAAAATAATTAATTAATATAAACTGAACGTAATCATCTGAGAAAAGATCCTTAAATCTATTTCAAGACCAAAAGTTGAACACTAAACCTGTCTTTCTCTTAAAACTTCTTGCGAGGACAGAACTCCACTAGCACTCTGGGAAAACCTAGACGACTTTCGGCTTGCAATAGAAGCAGAGTCTAGGGAAGAGGAATAGCTTGTCATTCGTTGAGTATGGTGAACAGATCTGGGTAGAGCATCTTCTGGTAAAACAATAGCAGGCACAGAATTCTCTACAGTGAGATTAGGCTCAGCGCTATTTGTATCCTCAGCACTAGGACCAGCATCTTCTCTGTTTGAACTTTCATTATTATTTTCTTGTACTTCCTCCATTCTGAAATGTGGAAAAAGGAGAAAAAGATGTGTTTATAACAATCCATATTTTTTCAAGTCTACCTTTTCAAGAAGATGTGAAGGAAAAGCAAGGTAGGGAATAAAAACATGAAAAATGAGAGCATCTCAAAACTGACTTCCCAGGCATTTTATAATAGGTTACAAATGTCAAGCTGAAGATGATTACAGAAAGATTTTTTTTTTTAAATAATTTACCATAGGTTTACATTTCGTGGAGTGAACATCTTTCCATATAACAAATAAAATGTTTACAATATTAATACTTTCACTGAATATCTGCTGAGAAATATAAATGGTTTAGAATATACATGATTTCTTTAAATTTTAGTTTGTAAAACTTATACACATATTCAGCAACTGAGCTTACAAAAAGTCTTGCATGCATTTCTACGCTAGGTCTTAAAGCATTGCTCACATGATTTTTATACAAATGCCCCCCTCAAGCATAATATTCTTAACTTGTGTAAGTGTCGGCAGAAATAATGCAAGATGGAGGGTGTTGGGTAGTATTTTTTCCGTAGAAAAAATGAATTTAGCATCAAACATCATCAGCATAATGAAACAGTCAGGCTTTCTTTTAATTCTGTGTCTAAACCCTGGAGCACTGCAGTTCACAGGGAATGCATGCTACTCTTCAACAGGAGGAAGAGATTTCTCAGTCCAGTGCTGGTGGCCAGGGACTAGCAGGTTAGCTGTCCTAGTTGAGGATTTCTAAAATAGCCGAAAACAAAGTATATTCATGGCTGACTGCTAAGCAGTAGACTGTTACAGAAAGGTGGCACTTTTCATTTTCTTTCCCTTTCTACTCCACTAGCACATAAGCCGAGAAAAGGGTTGGTTTCTGAATCCTAAGCCCGTCATTCAGGGCTACAAAGCAGCATCTAAATCCTCTCTTTCCATGTTTTCCTATTACGGGGCATACTCATCCACATGCATGTACTGGCTGCCATCAATCTGATTTGGAGATAATACTTAATACTCATAAATACATATAGAAAATTCAATGTTTTATTCAGTGTGCTCAAATCTACACATGGATTGAGCAACTAGTTTTAAGGCACTGTAATAATCAGAAAGCTATACCTGAAATCCTTACCTTGTGTCTAACTTTTCCTTTAAAGATAGCTTCTTTTGTTTCACAGGAATGTTTTAATGGAGAAGTATTTTATAAAACAAATGTTAAGATAGGATAACAGATTAAAAAAAAATGGAAATTTTTATTCTAATCAGAGTACTATTACTATAAAGATTAAAGTAACTATCAATAATTACCTAGTAGTTCTTGCAAAGCCCTAGGGCAGCCATCCACAGGTGTAACTCTAATATACTCTCTTAGACACTATTGCCTGCTTCAGGAAATAGAAAATCAGAAGCAAGGCTGGCATGGAAAGCAATACCTGGTGCTACATAACTAGCTCTTTATTTTTCCCCGAGATTAGTAAAGCGGCCACTGTTCAATAGCTTTGGCACACAATCGCCTGTTACAGAAAACATGTCTCTTTCTCAAAGCAAAAGTACTAAGAAAAAACAACTTAAGAAAGTAATGAAAAAAAGGAAAATGTAAAATCTAAATGAATTAATTCCTTTCTTTTCCTTCATGTTTATCAACTGGGCTAGTCATCTATAAGGTTAGCAGAGGTCCTTTCCTCCTTGACACTCAGATGTAATATGCTAGATGTTAATTTCCCTGCCTTTGAACTGGTTCTCTAAGTTGGACTGTGAAGTTGAAACTTTTCACTAAGGCTCAAGATGAAAGCTCTCACAGCTTTCTTTAAAAACAAAGACTACACTGTACACTGCCATCCTCCCTGACTCCCCAAAAATCTGTGCTCGAGATACCTGGTGGCTCAGCTAAGATTTCCACTTTTCAAAAAACAGGATGAAGTCCAGTTGCCTACAATCTTAGTGGTAACAGGTGGTGCGCTTTTCTATTAAAAGTTCCTTTCCTGCCCTCCAGGGTGCCCTAAACGTTGCCGACAGGACCTGCTCATGGAAGACGAATGAGTCTGGTTTCCAGCACGTCTTCAACCTTAGGAGGAGGACGAGGTGAGGGAAGGTAAGAAAAGTGGAGGATAGAGCATGAGGGGTACTGACTTCTGGCTCTCTTCGGAAAAGCTGACGTGCCTTAACAAGGCTCCCTGCTTCGGCAGAGAGCAAAAGAGATGCAAAGCGCCTTACCGACCTGGCCGGAGAGACGCCTCACAACGCCAGGCGAGGGGAGCAGCCGACCCGCAACCGCACAACCACCGGCCCCCGCCCCTTCAGGCGGCAGCGCAAGCGGTTCCGCACCCAGGCGTTCTGCCTCCGTCCTGCAGCTACGGAGGGCGACGGCGACTCGTCAGGCGGTTGGCCGTTAACCGGTTGCCCGTTAACCGACTGGCCGTTGGGCGGCGGCGCGTAACGGCCGCGGGGCTGCGCGCGCCGGGGGA